TCTTTCTTATATTAATAAATTTTGTGATTGATAAAAATAAAGAGAGAATTCATTATTACTTTGATTGAAATTATTATATATTTATATATTTTATTAGATAATTCTTTTAGATTTTTTTATAATCTCAAATTGATTTTTTATCATAATTTTCTTCATTTAAACAAAAATTTGAAATAGAACTTCATAGAATTTATGATAATTATGACATATATATTTAAAAGGAAATAAAGATAGTTTAACATTTAAACAATTTAAAGGTTATTCAATTAATTATACAATATTTATTGTTTTTTATATATTTAAATAATCATAATCCACCTTTAAACTTATTGATTGGGTATTGATCTTTATATTTAGTTAAATGTTCTCTTAATTAAGTATATTAATCTTATAGATGAGGTAAGACTTCATCATAAACATCAGTGAACAAATCATGAATTGATGGTGATTATTCTATTTTATATAATAATTAAATAAAATACATTCAGATCCATGTTTCAAAGCAGCAATCACTCTATTTTTAACATCTTTTCTAATTTAATTATCATGTTCATCATTAAATTATCTAAGTCCTTACTTTTTCAAGAATAATCCTAATCTATTAATTGGGTTGTTTCCTGATTTCCATGAATCAATTTCTTCTTATGATCTATACAAAACAGAATGATCTGATGTTGAATGATCTCCAATCTATATATATTTATATTATAATAATTACTCTATAAGTGATAAATTCAATAAAAAATGGTTCTTTATTTTTTATAATTTCTTCTCTTGCATATTTAACTCCATTATAAACAGCCAATAAATCATTACCATCAATTTTCAATGTTCTCATTCCATATGCTGGAGCTTTGCCAGCTATTGTATCACCTTTGAATTGATCATCTGTAGGTGTGCTGATGGCATAATGATTATTTCTGCATAAAAATAATGTTTAGCATTTTAAAGTCTATGCAAAATTCATTGCAGAATGAAAATCTCCTTCAGAAGCAGCCCCTTCTCCAAACCAAGTAGCTGCAATCTTATTTTCACCATTAACTCTAAATCCATATCCAGCTCCACTTGCTTATGGTACTTACGTAGCTATAATACGTCAATTAATAATATTTTACTTAGAGGTGATGACACAGTGACTATGTTCAAATCTTTGCTTCCATAATGTACAGGCATTTATCTACCTTTTCCACCATCTAAATGGTTTCCTATACATTGATTTACTATTTATTCAATTGTGAATCCTCTCCACATAAAACTACCTTGTTCTCTATATTATGGAAATATGAAATCTTATGGTTAAAGTGCAGCTGTAGTGCCAACAGTTGTAGCTGTCTCTCCAAATGAAGTCATGTAAAATGAAATTTTTCCTTATCTTTAAGACATGTAAAGGATGTTGTCCATTTCTTCAATCTAAAAAACTTCAAATTAAACATGTTTACAGTTAACATCAAATCAAATATTTGATTGAGTGTTTCTTTTGGAATATTATTATATTCCTTAGCAATTAGATTACCTTCCAAATCAATAACTCTAAACTATTTTATTTACTCAAAGTTTTATATTGGATTGATTTGATAAACATATTGGGATGGCACTTCTTTGAAGGCTTTACTTATTTTAGAGAACCTCATAAAGTGTTTCATTTAACACAGATATTAATATAAAATCAATTATTTGTATTACCATATAAAATGATTATCTCATTCAATTATGTTTTCATATTCATTTTGATGTTCAAAATTATAATTCATATCAAATATAATTGATTATTTTTAATAATGTATTCTTATAAATCACTTAGATGTATAATAAATAACTATAATAAATTGAAACTCAATTATTTTCATTATAAATTTTTATATTCTCTTCAAAATATACTCTGCTTATTTGTTTAGGAATACTTTTCATATGAGCTATTCTAAATTAAAGAGATTCCAATATTTCCATTAAATTATCTTATTACATAGCCTTCTTTATGGCTAATTACTAAGAGTTTACTATTATTTCCTCTAAACCTTCCAATTTATTTGCATTTTTTAAAATATAATGATGTATTATTCTTGAGAATCTAAGACTTAAAAATTTTTCATTGTCTTATAATAAAAGTCTTAATAATTGTGTAATGTATTATTCTTCAATTTTATTAATATTTTAGAAATATGCTTGTTGAATAACATCCAAATATTGTTAATTTGTATTTTTTGTTATTAACAATTATTAAATTGATTTAAACCATTACTCTTAATCAAATACGTAAATTAAAGATCGGAGTTTGTATATGTTCATATTATTATTATATTTAATTATATCAAATATTATAAATTAAATTATCTGTAAATTAAATTTTATTATTAATTATCTATACAATATGAATGTATATAGTAATTATTTATCAATAGAAATACTAATAGAAAAATACATAATTTTAATGAAAGTTGTCATTAAATAAATTAAAATAATACTTATTATAATATTTATGATATGATTTATTACACTTATTAAAATATTAGATTTATCAAGGAGGATGATGATAATAATTTATTTTTTGCGACCTATTTTAATACAAACATCTTTTGTTGATTAAAAATACTTGATTGAAATTCATAATTAATAATATATTAATTTGATTAATTATTTATTTATTAATTGGGAAGAACAATTTTTTGAATTGAATTTTTTGCTAATTAATTAACCTATATTTTATTTCAATTAAATTAACTTATTATATACACACAAAAATAATAAAAATATGCAAAGAAGGAGATTGTTTATTAAAGGTGTAAAAAAATTTGATTTATTTGCTTAACCTATCTAACTATTAGTAAATGAAAAAGAATATCATCAAACAATTTTTGGATCAATACTTACACTTGGATTGTTGTTACTGTTCTCAAATTTATTATACTCCAAATTAATTTCTTTATTTGATCGCAATAATCCAACTTCCTTAAGTTCTGAAATCTATCACTCTTAACCTGAGATTTATTAATTGTTACCATAGAATTTTACGATGACTTTTGCATTTTAAAATTCAACTTATCATACATATATAGATGATTCAATTTATGTAGTTAAAGCATAATTAGTACATAAATATGAAAAAGTTGTTGATGGTAATAAAAATGAAGTTTGGGATAAATAAGAATTACCCTTAATAGAATGCAGTTCTGATATAATTAAATAAAAAGATTTAAGTGAATATTTTTCACATTTTGATTTACCAACAAATTATTGTATAGATTGGAATAAAATTGATAAAATAAACCTTGAAGGAACATTCGATGCACCTGCTTATTAATATATTTTAATATAATTTTTTATTTGTACAGAAGAAACTAAAAAAGATAAATAGTGTAAAGAATAATAAGAAATTAAAAAAGCATTGGAATAAAATTATTTCTCATTCTAAATATCTTCATATACTACAAATTTAATGAATCCAAACTCTCCTTATAATCCAAAAGGTCAAGATTTATTTACAACTATATCTAGCAATATTTATAAAGAAATTTCAATCTATCTAGAACCGTTGACCACTTTAACTGATGTAGGTCTCATTGAAACTGAATTAGAATATTATAAGACTTTGAGATATGGTAGACATACAGAAATGTTGGATATTAGTTCAAATGATTTAATTATGAATGTAGTCGTTAGATTAGATACAACTGAATATGTTGATTATAGAACATATTCTAAAATTTAAGAGATCTTAGCTGAATTAGGAGGATTATGGTAAGTCTTATTCAGTTTTTTTTATATCATTTCAAAACCTATTAATAGAATTAGTAGATATCTTTAATTAATTAATTCATTATTTGAATTGAATGATTCTGAAGATCAAGATGAAAATATATGTTATTAACAATATTCTTTACTTAGATAAGCATAAGATATATCTCCAATGTCAATTTAAATTCCATAAATTGAAACAAAAACTTAACAAAAGGATGGATTAACAAATAAACTAAAATAGGAAGAACCTAAGAAAAGAAAAGAAACTTAAGTGAAGCCTTAAAAAACTATTCTTACAACATATGCTGAATATTTACAGAGAGTCATTATCAGAAAAAAAAAGAAACTAGAATTTGGATATTTTGAAGCCTTTTAGAAACTTAAATGCATCATAACATAAGTATATATTATAATTAAAATAATAGGATAATGAGAGAATTAAATAGTTTCAATTAGCCTAAAAATAAATTATGAGTTAATTAAATATAGTAGAAATTTTAAGGAAACTTAGGGATGTTGAAAAATTAAAATATATCATATTTAATGAAAACCAAAGATTATTGTTTGATAATTTTCCTAGCATTTAATATTAGTAAACTGAAGATAAACATGATAGATTTGATTAATAACATAAGATTTCTGCCTAAGATGCAATTCTTTAAATAATTGGAGATTAAAATAATGAAATGAATTAGAAATTACTAGCTTCCTTAGATTAAACAGTAAGTAATTTATTAAAAAATTGTCAGCATGATCATCCTGAAAAATGATTTTTGTGTTTAGTATTTAAAAATATAATCTATATATAAAGATATTAAGATTATAAATTATATATCTTTATATTTTTTTAAAATCCCATTCCTACGAATCTTAAAAATTAAATAAAATTTAACTAATTGATAATTCCATAAGTTTTTTTCTACTTCACAGTAAATAGTGTTCAATCTTATAATCCGATATACTGTTGCTTCACTAACTTAATTAATTGACAAAAACTAAATTATAGAAATTTCCAAATTGAATATATAGGTATATTATTAAATCCACAACAAATAAATAAACATAACAATTCAGTACTTTTGGTCATATGGCTTCTTTTTTTTTAATTAAAATACTAGACTATGATATAAATTGAATTAAATATAATATAAATTAAAGAATTATTTTTATTACTAAATCCATAGGTGATGTATGTAACAAAGATCAATACTTAATAAGGTTTTTAATACTAATATACGATTCTTTAAAAAAATTTTTATTTACTCTCAAGGCCTTTAAACTAACTTCAGATTCAGGATCAGAAATTATGAAAAAGATAATTTGAAACAGACTGATTTTTCTTAAAATAATTTAGATGTCAGTTTTTCAAATTCAAAGTCTTTATTTTCTATAAATTCTGAAAGTAATAATTAATCTTAATTTTATTATATGTATGTAATTTAGAAGTTCTAATAAATCATAAATCTGGTAAGTCTAATAAAGTTCTTTAAGTTTTTAAGAGTGAAATCCAACTTTATTAAGTATCTGAACTTGAGAATTGAATTCATCCATTTAATTGTTAAAATATTTATATAAATTAATACTAATGTATTAAATAATAAGTATAAGAATATATTTATTTTAATAATATTATTTACAATATGATATACATAATGTAATTTAAGGACTGGAAAGATATTTTAATTTTTAAATATATTTTTATTTTTTAAATATTAATGGATTAAGGTTTAGACCCAGCAATGTTATTGGCAGAATTAAAGAAACAAGATGAAGTAAAAAACTTGACATATAATTTAGTGGGCTAAAGCAATTATATTTGATGAAGATTTGAATGTGATAACTCATAAAAACTGTGCAGCTACAAAGGAGGAATTGACATTATACTTGAAAGCCTATGATGTGAGAGATAATACAATTGGTGCAGGCTTTGTATTATTAGGAGAACAATATGAAGTTCATAGATGGCATCCTCCTCTGATTTATGGAAGAAGAGGAGATGCAGATGTAGGAGAAGGAATCTCATTAGCAAGAGTAAAATACTTAAAATATTAATAATTAGGGAATTTGTAATAAGCTGAATGGAAAGAAGGTTTATTTATTGATAACCTATGAATTGCCAATAGTAAGTGCAAGAGCAGTGCCTTAACAAATAAACTTTTATAATCAATTCATTGGTGAATTAGAGAAATTTGATATTAAGTAACAATGAGCATAAATAATATTAAATAATTTTAATAATCCATATTCACTAAATTATCTAAAATGATAGGGTTATTTAATGAACTTCCATTTAAAATTGTAAGGTTTACACCAATATTAATAACATTGTAATGATGATTAATAATATACTCTCATACTAACTTAATTGTGCAACCAATAGCTTCCAATTTTTTCTTCAATTCTTCTGCATCAGCTTTCTTCATTTATTTACTTAAAGTGGCAGGTAACTTTTCAACCATATCTTTAGCTTCCTTTAAACCCAAATTGAAAATTGCTCTGACATCTTTAATAATTTTAATCTTTTAAGCAGCATCTATTGAATCAAGAACAACATCATAATTAGATTTCTAGATTATTTTTAATAGATATTACAGTAGCCTCTTTTGGTGCTTCTTTAGGGGCTTCTTCCTTTTTTTCCTCTTTTGCAGTAGCAGCAGTATTAGCAGCTGCAGCTTAAGCTCCTCCTGTTCCTACTCCACCTCCAAATCCAACAATTTCAGAGAATAAGGTTGCTATTCCTTATTATCCTAAAGGCCATAATTTGGCTATGATTTCTTATTATTATAACCATTGAGGATGAGCTGTTGGCCAGACTCCAGGACCTGTAATTCAATTTATTAAATTACCAACTTGAGTATCTTCTTTAGAAATACCTAATGAAAACTCTGCGTAATCAGGCTTATTTAGAACTTATTTCTACAAAATGTAATTCAGATATTGAAATTCATTCTCACTTAAATATTCTATATGTTTTGCTAATAAATTGATCTTTTTCTATTGATTGGCATCTAATTTATCATTGAAAACTCTTGGAGGCCTAAAGACAAAATTGATAAATGCAAATTAATACATCTCTTTTGCTCTATTTTTGAATTCATTCCATTCTCTTTAAAATGATAGATATCTTTCTTTGAAAGAGATTTTTTCAATTTTGTTCAATTCAGTTTCTAATTTATTAATGGTACTGCAACCAAACCTTATTGCTCTTTGCATCTCTAATAAATAATTAAATATATATATATATATATTTATTTATTTTTATGTTTATTATACTATACTTAATATTCATCATTTTTAAGCTACTTTCTTAGCTCCCTTTTTTTAATAGAAAGTATCATCTCTTCTAAATTCAAATTCTAAATCTCTAGTTGTTAAAATTTTGTAAACATCCTTAATAGATTCAAGTCTTGATTCTAAATCTTTCTAATCACTTTCATCAAGGAATCTAATAAATCTATGATTTTATTTTACATTCTATAAAATTTAGTACCATCAACTCTAACTCTTGTTCTTCTTCCCAAAATAATAGATGGAGAAATTAAATCTTCAAGTAATCCATCATAAACTGTTGTAAGAGTTCTTGAATTTGGTCTTGTTTAAGATCTGTGTTTCTTCACCCATTTACTTTCTATTGTTCTTTTAGCAACAACTAAGATGGTTGCTTTAACTCTTTTCTCTAATTCTGGCAATAGTTTTTAGCTAAAATTAATTCGTACTAAAATATACCTAATCTTATTGTATATTGTTAAACATGGATAAGGGATAAAAACTAAATAAACTTATTTCTTAGCATTTATCTTTGTTGTGAAATCAACAACTGATGATAATCTCAAATTTTTAACCTCAGTTATTGTTCCTTCAATTTATGTTAATGCTAATCCAACTTATTATTCTAAACTTGATAACTCAATATTTTTAAAAGATTATTACTTCTTTCTTTTTCCAAAATTTATTTGCTGCCATTCTATTAAATTAATTATATATATATATATATTATATCTTTTATATAATTATGCAAATAGTTTATTTTTAAGTATACCTTCCTCAATTTATATCTCTAACTTTATTACAAACACTAAACTAAAAAGTTTATAAATCCTTATTCAAATGATCAAATACTATTATTAATTAAAACTATTAATAAGGCGAAATTTAAAAGTAATATTTTAATATGTTTTCCATTTAATTACTCAAAAACATATATAGATTCATCTTTATATTGGATTATTAATTATATTTTATATAATATGAATTAGAATTTAAAAGCCTTGAATGATTAGAATCAATTAATAAAACTATTATTAAAATGATCAAAATATTGATTTTATTGGCATAATTTCTTGAATTTTTGTTTTCAGTCTCATTATGCACATTCATGAAGATTGGAAGAGAAGAAACCAAAATGAGTGGCAGAGTTCTAAAGTTTGCTTATAGAGTTGAAAAAAATCTACTCTACAACTATGAATTTGGACCAAATACTAAAGTAGGTAATCACTAATCATTAGGATATAAGACTTTGTTTGATTCCATTTTTACTACCAACTATCTGCAAGAAAATAATTAATATCAAATCACCATTAAGTTTTTATGAACTATTGCTTGCGTTAATTGATGTTTTATCACTCGTTGACTACATCAATACAACAGAATCTTATCAAAGATATTGTCTAGTTTATACTATAAGAGTCATAAGAACTATGATGATGCTATTTGAATTAGTATAAGAAATTACAAAAATGGTAATCCTTCACTATGAGTAAATATTGCAAAATAGACTTTTGCAAATGTAATAAAAGAAACAATCTCTACAAAGCAGTATTAATCAATAACAATAGTTATTATCAATTTAATAATAACAAATTCTTAATGAAGATTTTGATTCAGATGAACAATCTAAATTAAATAACACACGAAAATAATAATAATAATAATAAACATTAATAAAACGAATTATATTTCCATAAATGAAAATCCCTTGCATTCTATTAAATTTAATAATTAATCAATAACAATATTACATCTAAATTATAGATCCTTGGAGTTTTGACAAATCATTCTCATAAATTTATATAAGAGAATAACTATTAATAATGATTAAACTTAATTATTGCTGTTAAATATATTAAACTTTAAAGAAAACTAAATGTAATTAATAAGCTTTACATAAATACAGAGAATTAATAGCAGAATATTTATCTTAATTAATTTGGATGAATTGATTACAATATTGTATATAAAATAAATAGATAGATAGATAACTCATTTATTATTTATATAATCTTAATTTCTATCTTAGATCTTTACTTTCTTTTATTAATAAATATCATTTCATCAATAAATACTAATCATTTCTTAATATAAAAAAATTTAATTATGATTTAATTAAATATCTTTCAAATAAACTGAATTATTTTTATTTTATCATAATGATATAACAGAATTAATTTAAGATAATCTTCAGTAAGTTACTTATTTATAATGAGATTAAATTTAATCATAATATTATAATGTTATTAAGCATTTCAATTTTTTTAGAACTCAAATCTAAAGATAATGAAGTACAAGATCAAAATTATTTGTTAAATACAAAATTCTTTCAATAAATAGTCGAAATTGGTAAAGTCCTTTATAAATGAGAATATGAAAAGCTTGACATTTATATAAATTAGATTGTTGCTTAACTTTATTAAAAAAAGTTAAGGCATAACTAGAAGTAAGATTAAATAATTAAAGGTTGATTTAGTTTAAATCTTTTAATAAAATTTTTCTTAATATTATTGTAATAGTTTTAAGATAATAATTTAATGATTGAAAAATCTTAATCTTTTAATTAAATTGAATTGATGATTAGTTACTAAGACAATCCTTCAAATTTAAAGAATCTAAATCAAATTAAAACTGAAATAGTATATAATTAGATGTGCATTAACTAATATTTGTTTAAATTGTAGGAAAGATAAAAGGTTTTAAAAATGATAATTTAATTAAATTTATATAATTAAGATTCTTGTAAAGTTTGAGATTAATTAAAACTAAAATATCTAATTTCATTAATAATGGAATGAGTTTGATCGAAGCCTTTAATTGTTTTAAGCTATTTCACTTTCATTGCTTGAACTCAAAAATCTAAATCTCTTTTATGGTTTATTTTAATATGATTTAATAGTTGTTGGAGTGTTTGATGGATTACTTAATCTTATAATTGGACAAATAGTTTCTTCACCATCTAGATCTCTTGGGGAACCCTAATCAGAACAAAATTATAAATCAATACAATTCAAAATCTCAAGTAGCTTTTCTTATAATTCATCTAAATTTTAGTGATTGCTAATAATAAAGTAGAAATTGCGATCTTTTTTTATTAATAAATCTTGCATAAATTATATATTAACCTTTGATACATCCTTTTTATTCCATTGAGATTTAATTTTATTAATACAATCTCCATATTGCAAATAATACTTAACTTTCTAAAGAACTTGACATATTTTATATTTTATTATTTATATTAATTACATCTATTGTGATATTTGCTGAACTATAATTTTGATTTATATTAAATGAATTAGAAGTCAAACTTAAAATATAAGTTATTTAAATGAGAATCAACTTTCTAATTTATAATAAAATCAAGAAACAATCTTTTAAAAATTTTGAAGAACTATTTTAAAACATTTTTTAATAATTCAAACTCAAAAAATCATGAATTCTTTCTTCTTTGTAATTATATTAAACAAATTTATTAAAAACAGATTATGTTAATTAAGGATATTTAAACATAATAAATTGTATTTGTTGATGTTTGATGAATCATTATCTAATGAAATAATTTTAAACTCTATTTTGTAAATGGATTTAAATAATAATATTTAGCAAATTTTAATCTAATTATAAATGTATTATATGATATAATTTTGATGGTTGAATAACATTTAAACTTTCATCTATAAAATCTAATAATATAATTTTAAAATTAGATTAATTTAATATGTAATAATCCTTAGATAGAATGATTAATAGTTTTTGTATTTTACATTTTAAGTTTTATTTGATAATTATATTAATGACATTTTCTAATAATCTCATAAATTTGATATAAAATTATGAATTAAAATAAAGAAATTATGACTTTATTTGTGAGAATAATTATCTTTAAAATTAATGTATAAATATTATTATATTTAATATATATAATTAATCATAAATCATTTAATTGCATATATTTGAATATTTAGTTTTAGAATATTACTATTGCTTTAATTAAAATGTTTTAGGTTTAAACAAATTATACTGATAATTTTAGATTAATCGCTGTGATTAAGTTAAATATTTTGTATATGTTTGGAGAAGAATGTAATTCTGAAATAAATCAAGTCAAATTAGATATTAATTGATATATAAGATATCTAAAATATTATTTTAAGTTAATATGGAGAGTAGCAAAATCAATTTTCACCAGTTCCCAATTCAGAGGAGAGCTAATAGATTGGTTCAAAATGAGAAAAATTTGAAAATTTTGAAATGGTTTCATTTGAATTACTTGAAATGATTTCATCTTCAAATAAAGAATTAATATCACTTTCTTAATCTGAATCCTAGAAAAGAATAAAAAACATATATTACTGAGTCATCATCTGAATCATACAACTTATCCTTTAATTGAATAGAGACTTTTCTTGTTCTTCCTAAAATTTTATTTAATTTAAATTACCTTAAACGATTGTAGTAAGATCAGTGTCTGAAAATATTCTTTTTATGTTATAAATAAAGATGGATGGCATATTGTAAGTTAATACAACTACTAATTTCTATCCTTATATCTAAAGTAATCGATTTTCACCAAATTCCCACAAAGAATTACAACCATCGGTGATTATTATTTTGAATTCAACTAATTAATCTAGAAATATAAAAAAGTATATACTTAGTTCAACTTCTAAAGCATAATCACTATACCATATGGGATACATTTCATTATTGGTTATTAATTTAAATCCTTATTATGGATTCCAATTCCCTAATTGTGGAGTGTTTCCAACAATTCTCACCATTTAACTAAATTCTGTTGAACATTTCACACGAAATAATACTTGAGCACTCATTTAACAATATTTATTATTATAGATAAACTTAAATCATCCGCTATTAGTTTTGTATTATTTCATATTAAAATGTGAATCACATGGTTTTGCGTCATTTACAAAAAGGAAAATTATTATTTAAGAATTTATATATATCAAACAAAGATTTTCTTTATTCTTTAAGGAGGAAATTTAATTTTTACTCTTTCTGTTCTTTCTCCCTAACCTAAGGTTGGTAACTTGAATTCTGATTTTGCTTAGATTCTTTTTTTTTTATGTACAGTCAATACCTTATAACTAAATTTTAAGAATTATTACAATTTATTCTCTTTTTTCATTTAGATGTTAAGCATGAATTCTAGATGAAGCAATATTTGCAAATGCTTTTCGAAATATATTAATTTCCTATTATTATTACTTCTTCATCATCTCAATATAAGGATCAAAGTTTTTCCTTTATTAAAAAAAGTACTCTTATTAATCAATAGTTTAATGTCTTTTTGTCTTTGGAGGTATTAACATATTAAAATATATATAAATATTATTTATTTTGCAATCATTCTATTTAATATATGTTCTTATTTAAAGAAATTTTGTAATAGTTATGAATCATGTAGTAAATTTAATTTTAAATTGGATAACATAGTTTGTATAACAAGTGATTTTATTTATTTTTATTAAAAGATAATTTTCTTCTTGTATGAAAGAACCTTTTCTAGTAAGATTAGTGGTCTTGAATAATCTGGCTATTGAATATTAGGAGGAGGAAATGAAATTACCATTAAAAAAAATTAATTAGATGTATACAATCACAAAAGAGCGATTTATAAGATTTTTATAGAAAAAGTGTTTACTATAGTCATTAGATTCTAAATAAATAAATTTTGGTATTTTCAAAAAATATTATGATAGAATTTTTCGACAGATCTTAATGTAAATATAAATAAGAAAAATAAGTATTTGATACTAATAATAATTTTTTCAGTTTTCATCAAGAATTTTTTGGAAAGCCTGAGACTTTAGAGATAAAGTTAATTTTTGAAATAAATTATTGGAACATTAGAGGATTGGATATTGATTTATTAGAATGTGAAGAGAAAAATGAAAAATTGAATTAGGAGTAATAGAAATTAATGAACGAATTAGAAAAATAAAAGTAGTTATTTTAAGAAATGAAGGAAGATTTAAATGATATATATGATTTAGCTAAAGAGCAAATAAAAATTAAAAAAAAGAAAGAAGTTGATATTGTTATACTTTATAGCAGTCCCTTAATTTAATTGGATAATACTATATAAGAAGCATAATTTATAGATTATGAGAGTGAAATAAAGAATATAGAAGTAGAAATTAAAAGTTCAGGCAAAGAAATAGATTATGAGATTTTATTAGCTACAAGAGATAATTTAGATGAAGCTATGAATTGGAATCCATAAATATTACATTTAATAATTAATGGAGATTATGATATGAATTCTGGTTATTATTTTGAAATATAAGAGGGTAGTTTAGTAGAAAAATTATCATTGGATGGTCTTATTTAAATAATGTCATATCATTAAAGAAAACTAAAACGTTTAAGATTGATTTGTATAAGTTCAATGATAGCAAAAGATATTATATAGGTTCCATAAGCAAATGATAATAATCCATATTTAATTGAAAATATATAAAACTTTGCCTCTGTAACATTTGTAGGATAAGTAAAACTATTTAATTGTGATGATAATTTAGGAAACTAATTTTGGAAATATTTTTATAAATAATTGATACAAAATAAAAATTTTAAAGATTCATATGAAAATGCAAAGAAAAATGTAGATGAATTATTTAAAAATTGTTTAAAAGAAAATCCAACAAGTGTTAAAATATGTTGTTGCTTTCATGAACATGATTAAGAATGTTTGAAAGATCCTATTAAGATTGGATATACAAGATCTCATTTATCACATTTAAAATGTTCAAGATAAAGATTTAATCATTTTTGTGGGAAATAATATAAAAGTGTAGAATAATGTGATAAAGGTTGTTTAGGATAAATTTATCATGATAATGAAGATGAATAATGTTAAATTATAGAACATAATTGTAATAATTATGATTCTAGATTTGATGAAATATCAATTAGTCTTAATCTTAAAAATAATCAAACTGTGAGTAGTGAAATTTTAAGTATTAATATACCAATTGGTTTATAAATATAAAACAAAGAAAAAGAAAAAAATATATGTTGTTGTTTTGAATATCATATATTTCAAAATAAACTTAATGATAATTATCCAATCAGTTAAAATAAATATCATTTAAAATAACATCATCTCTCACAAAAGTTTGTAATACGATTAGCTGAAGGATAAAATTAATTAGATATGAGAGAATTATTAAGTTTTGAATAAAAAAATAATTACTTATAAATTAATAAATAAATCATAATTATTCATAGTTAGGATTGCTCTCAAGATAATTTTAGTCTTTTAAAATAGATATTAAAAAAATACTTTGAAGTAAATCATATTTTTAATAATAGAAATATTCTACAAATAAAAATTTGGATCTTATAACATTTTCCAATGAAGATCAACATTAAACAATTTAAGAATTAATGCAAAATATTAATTAATTTTTTGATAAACATTTATTAGATGATAAAACATTTAAAATTATAAGTCTTTAAAAGATTGATAATTATTGTAAAGATGAATAATTCAAATAGTTTTATGAAAATTTACTTGAAAAATTCTAATCTAAAGAAAATCTAATAATTATATTTGAAGTTAGTTATAACAATATAATATATCTAAAATAATCTAGTCTAGAAGACTTATTTCAATTAATTAATTATGATGAAATCAAAGCATAGCTAATAAAATAAAAATGTGAAAAAATATGAATGTTATAAAGCATTATTGTTATAAATCATCTATTTTTCAATTATTATTCTATTTTAATTTTATTATAATCTTATTTAATAAATTCAATTAAACAATGTAGAATTATACTTAAGCAAATCAATTAAAAAGTTTTAGATTCACTTAACATTAACTCAATCAGATATTAAAATAATATTAGACCTATGGATTTACATAATCATAGATATTACAAGCTTGGCAAAAATGCAATTAAGATTAGTATCTATTTCATGATGTACTAATCTAATAAGTGTACAAACTATCTAATTTAGAAATGCCAAAGGTACTGTGAGCAAAGATCTATTATAATCACAACTTAATCTCAAAACTTAAACTGATCAAAAATAAATACGGAACTCCATATTTATTCAAACAGTAGACGATTTATAGTATTCTATTTTCTAATATTATATAGGAAATGTGATCTAATAACATTGTAAGAGTAATATAGAATTAATGTAATCAATTCACCAAATTGGAAGCCTACAGGATTGATTAATTTAGGCAATAGTAAAGTATAATTCTTATTTTAAGCTTGTTATATTAATATAATGCTTCAATATATGTTCAATATTACTTCATTTAGACAACTCATTTTTAATATTTAATTGCCAACTGATAAGACTAATGGATAAAAGGTTATATAAAAATTAAAAGAGTTATTTGCTTTAATGCAATCAGGCAATAGAAATTATATTAATCCTTGTGAATTAATTACATCTCTTTAAGAATATAAACCAAGTAATTCTCTAACTTATTCTTCTTCTAGATATTTTGACTATTAAAGGTGAATAAAATGATTATAATGAATTATAACTGATGTTTTTAGATGTAATTGAAAATTCTTTATTGGATCTAAACAATGATCAAGTAATTTAAGAATTCAAATCTATATTTTATGGTTAATCAGAAGAAAACATAATTGTTAATAATAAAGTTATCAAAACTACTCCAACTTAATATAGCTCAATTACAATAGAAGCAAATGAAGAAAATCTATTAAAAGCATTTACATCTTCTAGAATTCTCTTTATAGATGACTATGAAATTTCAGAAAAGGTTTTTACCAAAGCTTTAATTCATTAGAACATTAAAACAGTCCCAAAGATTTTATAGTTCTATATAAATAGAGTACTTTATGATTCTAATTAAAATCAACTTATTAAAAATAATAAAGTTTTTACATTTCCCTCAGTAATTATATATCTTGATTATTATATAGACTATTGATGTTAGTTAATTCATATAAGATGATTCAATTAATTAATCTAAAGAAATGTAAGAGTTACTAAAAAAAGAATAAGAAATCTTATAAAAATTGGAATAATGTGGAGATCATTAATCAGAGATATAATTTGAAAATTTAATCAAACTATTTACAAAATAGGCAAATGAATAATTTATCATTGATCCATAACCAAATCTTTAAAGTCATATTGAAATGGCTAAATAATTGTCTTTGTATTAAGAAGCTTTTAAAGATAAAAAATAATAATTATAAATGGAATTTATAAAAATAGAAGAATAAAAAAAACGAGTAATTGAAGCAAAGAAAACTATCTATTAATTAACAGCTCTATTAATTCATTCTGGTACTGCTATAAGTGGTCATTATTATTGTTTTATTTTTGATGGAAAATATTGGTGGAAGTTTAATGATAGAGTTGTTACATAAGTGGAATTTCCAGTAGTATTTGCTGAAGCTTAAGGAAAAACTAATAAAAACACTAATGTATCAGGTTTAATCTATGAACATTGTGAATAAATAAATTAAAATAAATTGATTCCATTAGGTAATGAATTAGAGAAATTTATTGAACAGAAAAATTAAGAAATTTTAATGCTTATTGATAAATAAAAAATATTATAGATAAAATCTAGAATATTATAAAGAGCTGCAGAACATAAAATAATTTATCCAAAAAGTCAAATAAGCAAAGCTTTAATTAAATATTAATATTTTGAAGAATTTCTATAAGGAAATCCAAATAGACATTATTTTATTAGATATACTATTTTAGATGTATTTAATTTATAAATTATTAATAGGAAGAATTAAAATTATTAAATCCAACTTTAAAATATCCTTAACAAATCAATGAATATAAAAAATACTTTATTTCTAATTCAGGAATATTTCCATAAAATTTTGATTAGATGTTCTCATAAGATTATTCAAAATACCTATTCATAAATAATATAATTTCTAATTTTTAAGTTCCTACATTAATAACATCAATTAATTTTCAATAAGTTATCACTCAATTTCAAAAATATTGTTTATAATTGAAAAACTTAGATAATTCTGCTTTTGAATATTTGACTATCCTTTTTTAAGCAATATTATTATAAGGATGTTTCTTATGTGAATTATTGATTCAAAAAAATAAATTACAAGAAGGAAAATAATTAACATAATTTATATTTGAAACTATAAAATCTAGGTAATGAATAATAAAATAATTAATTTATAGTTAATTTATTTAAGCCATCATTACTTAATAACTTAGAGAAAATATGAAGAGTATTATAGATGAATTAGAGGAATTGAGTAAGAAACAAAATTTACAATAAAAAACGATTGTTACTTAACCTAGTATTCTCGTTCCTGATTCTATTCTTCAGATGAATTAAAACAAAATAAAAGATCTTTCAGATGTAATTCAGAGATTTGATGAATTAGAATAAAATACATAAGTAAAACTATAAATAATATTTTTATTAGTTATGGATTGGTTTTGTTAATAAAATATTAAAATCAAGTGAAATCATTCCTTAAAAAGTTCGGTTAGAATAAGAAATGCCACTATATTTTGACAAAAAACTATATTGATATTATTAAAAATATAAAATGTCATCTGATGAATTAGATTAGTAAAAAAATAAATTAAGAGAATAAGTTATTCATACTGAAACTCTTAATATGATGGCAAAATATTAATTAGTATTCTTAAAGATGGAAATATCAATGAGAAAGTTAGCATTGATAATAAAATTAAAGTAATTCTAACTGATTATTGTAGAGGAAACTAATAGAAGTTTTATGCATTTAGAAAACTAAAGCAATCTAATAAATATAGTGCTAATCATTTTAAAGTACTTTTTACATAGATTGCATTAAAATATAAGTAAATTGGAGCAATAATTCAAAAAAAATAAAAAAGGAATATTCATTTTGCATTCCTTAAAGTTAGATTATAATTTTCTAAAAACAAAAATGAAAAAATTAGAAAATCCTTTTTATAGGTAATAGCTTCTAAAGAGACAGAAATAAAAAATCTGTAAATAAAGGAATAAGAAATAATTGAGAATATAACAAATTAAAAATTAAAAGAATAGGATCTTCAATAGAAAATAAAACAAAAGGATTTAATATTATCATAATTAGAAAATGAATTAAGGAGAAATTCAGTCAATAAAACACTGGATTCAAAAGTAAATCTACTTAATATTGAAGTTAAGAAATATAGAAAATGAAAATTAGGAGATGTAAGACCGTATTATGGGAACAGAAGATTCTGTAAATCTATTTATAAGAGAAATGAACGATATGCTTGATAGTCATGAAATTAGTACTAATTTAGGTAATTATAAAAAACGACTCCATTAGATATTGATTCTGATGAAAACTAATCTTATGAATAACATGCTTAAATGGTTGAATATTAGAGTTAAAGATTGAATCAAAATTCAAGATCATAAAAATCTAAGAATTTTTACTCAAATTAATTGACTCGTACTAAAATTAATTGAATATATGAAAAATAATAAAAATCAAAATAACTATGATTTAATCTTCTTATCTTGTTAATAAATTTTATTATATTGCTAGTTTAGCAAAATTGAATAATTATTAACTTAAGCTTTTTATTTTGATTTGCTACTATTCATGGCGTCATAAAGTTCTTTTTCTTATTTCTTATTTCTTCCTTAGACAGCCAATTTAATGGCTTGTTAATTCTATAATTTAAGCATTTCATTTTCTTATTCTAACTATTACAATTTAAAATTAATTGAATCGTTTGGATTTAATGTAATCATATGTTTAAGTTCTTAAACTTCATTTTCTAAAGCTAAAATAGTATTTTCTTGTTAATGTATTTTTAATTCATATGTTTATTTGATATTTTAAACCTATAATAATTATAAAATAGTTATACTTCTGCATCTTTTAATCTCAAAGTTTGTAAACTCTCTTAAATACATTCATCAATTACTCTAATAATAGATTAACAATCATCAATTGATAATTGTTATCCTGAAATGATTTTAGATAACATTTTTTGAAGTTCATTCTATAATGCTAATTCAAATGGTCTTTTTTGAATTGCAACATTAATTTAATTTGGATATTATTCTTCTTCTAAATCATCCAAAAAATTTGCTTATTGACTATAGCTTTTAAGTCTGCTTTAATTACTGAAAGTAGGAGCATAATTCTTGCTATAGGATGCATCAAAAGATTGATTATGTTCAGATCTAGATTTATTTGTAACATCTTTAATAAATTTAGGACCTTTTAAAATAAAATTATTAAATAGAAATACCTGATGATTGATTCGGTGTTTTTTTCATTGACATTTTTTTTTATTTAAAACTGTAAAATAATAATAATATTTAAAATAATTAATCATTAATCATTTCTTCCAAATGCTCTATTATAAATAGCATAAATACCATAATTGTGTTAACACATCCTTAAAATCCTTTTGATTTATTTTCAGAATCTATTTATAAATGTTGCACTTCGTTCACTTCTGTTTCTATGCATTCTGTACATTTTCGGGATAAAAAGTTAAATGCCTCTTGCACTCCATCTCCAGTCTTTGCACTTCCTTAATTATGAAAAGAAACCTGACTTCAAAATAAGGTAGTTTGTATTTCTATGAGAATTCCTAAGCTTCAAGGAATTTGACTTATCGTTTCTATTTATGTGGCATTTTGTACTTCGCACAAATCTATTTTATTGCCAACCAGAATAGATTAAGCATTTGCTTTTGAACATTCTTAGACTTGTTTAATCCAATAATCGCTAATACGATTGAAACTGTCTTTATCAGCAATGTCAAATACCATAATGACTCCATCTGCTCTTTAAAAATAACCTTCATATTTACAAAATAAACCTACTTTTAGTGAGACTAAAATATTTATCCTATCCAGCTGTATCCCAAATGCATAATTTGATTTACTGTCCTTGTTGGACGAATTCCTTCTTTACTAAATTTAATCCAAGTGTTGGAAGATAATTATGTTAAAATGGAGCATCCTCTGAATTATAGGATAAATCTTACAGTCGATGAATCTCTATATAAGACTAGTTTTGCCAGACCCTAATCATCTTGTATATATCAATTACCTAGATTACCAATAACAATTAAATCAATTTTTATCATATATTTATAAAATCAATACAAACATACATTATTAACTCAATACTTTAAGATTATTCATAATAATTCTGATCAAATAGTAAACTCATTTCTTCTATAAAAAATCCTCATAAATTGAAAAACAACAGCTACAGTTAAATAAAATTCTAAGTAACATCAACTATACTTTTTTACATTCATTAAAAATAGGAAATAAATCTATTAGGAATCATTTAATTTATATTTCCTAATTCATAAATTCTTAAATCAATCCACTTTTTTTTGAAGAATATTAAGAAATCAAAAACCAAACATTATGATAGATTAATAAATTAATCATCCAACTTAGAGATATTGATATTATTAAACAATAGAGATTATATTCTTAATAAAGATCAAGTAAAAATTTAAAAAGCCATAAATAAGATAAATTACTAAGGTATAATAAATATAGAATTAATGTAGATTACATTAAATGATAGTTAATAAAAAAACAATGATTTTCAACTTATTATAACATATGTGTAATGATTATCTTAATTTAATGGATCATCTAATTTAATTGATCAAAAATATATTTGAATTTTTAGAATCAAAAAAAAATAAAAATTTACCTGTTAAATTTACATCAAAATATTTATTTTAATAATAAATTATCATAAATTAGCTTTATTTCTCATTTCTATAGGTACAAATTATTTTTTAGCAGGTCCAGTGTATTCTGAAACAGGTCTCATCAATTTGTTATTACTTCTTTATTCAATAATATGTCCTCCCCATCCTGTCATTCTAGAGATCACAAATATTGCAGTGAACATAGGAGTAGGCACTCTAAATATATTATATTTATATTATACCCACATTGTTTATATGCACTAGCACTATAAAAGTCAAGATTCGGATAAATCTTTTTCTCCTCAATCATTCGTTTTTCAATATGTTATGAAACAGCCAAAAGAGTAGGATCTCCATTTGCAGTCTTACTTAATTATAATGAAAAATCTTTAATAATTGGAGATCGTGGATCTTCCTTTTTATAGACTCGATGTCCAAAACCCATAATCAATTATTTACTTTAGTATCTGCTATTTAAGAATTGATCTGCTTATGGTATACTTCTTAGAGGTTCCAAATATTGCATAGCTGCTTCATTAGCTCCTCCATGAAGAGGTCCTCTTAAAGTTCCTATTGCAGTAGTAATTCCAGAATAAAAATCTGATAGTGTACTTACAGTAACACGTGCAGCAAAAGTAGATGCAGCAAAATCATGTTCTGCATATAATATTAATGAAACATCAAATGTTTTAATAACCAAAGGATCAATTTAACTCTTTAAATGATATAATTTAAGAAAGTTTTCAGCAATTGAATCTTTTCCTGTATTCTCATTTATTTTGATTCCTGAATTGCTATAATGATACCAGTACAACAAAGCTGGACCAAATAATGAAATTAGCCTTATACTTATTTCGTATTCTTAACCAGATTTTGTTTCTGGTTCCAAAATACCTACAATAGATGCTACTGTTCTCATAATATCCATAGGATGAGATTCTTTAGGTAAAGTCTCTAAAATCTATTTTAATTTGCATGGAATTTATCTCTTTTACTATATAAGAGTTTTCAATTCATTAAGTTATTACTAATTAGGTAAATTACCTTTTAATAATAAATAAGTCACTTCTTCAAAACTACATTTATATGCAAGATCCTAAAATTTTCTATACTTATATCTTACATTAATATCATAACCTCTGTAATTTAACCCTATGCCACCTACTCCAACTGTGGAAATAGCAGATTATCCAGCAACTATACCTTGTAGTCCTCCCGCTGCTTTCTTTTCACTCATTTATATTAATGAGTCATTTTTTGAGTTAGTGCGTAACTATAAATACAAAATAAATTTATAATATAATCAAAATGTATCTCTTATTCATTAGAATAATAAATATATAAAACAACCAATTATTTAAAGAAAATAAATTAATTACATAAGTTACTAGTTCTAGACTCTTTATATTGTTACATATGATATGAAGGATAGTAAAAATTTGATTGAATCAATTAACTTTGGCTTGTAACCGTTGAAATAATTTAATGAACATTTCATTCTAAGCTTTTTTCTCTCTGGGTATCTACTTATTAAATAAGATTGTTCTTATTTTTTGGCTTAATTTAACATCATAATCTAATAAACATGTTATAGGTAAATGTTCCTTTTATTAAGATGACTTACCAAAATCAACTGCTGTTTACCTTCTTGATTTTACGTAGTTAAAACTCTTTTAAATTTCATAATCTGGCATTGCATCCTTTTCTACTAATGGTTTTCTTGCTGAATATGATTCAAAAGAATGAGCATTGTTATTTTTCTATTGATCCATTGGTTAATAAAATTTATCAACTGTATTTCTTTACATATCCTTTCTTCCTTCTTATTTTTCAAATGGAATCATCATCTTTACTTTTGGAGCAGGTATCTAAACATTTGAAATATCCTATTAATTATTTGACAAACTCATAGATCTTCTTTTTGTCTGCTTTTCAAAGCTTATTGTTGGAATATGTTTTTCTATAATATCAAAATGAGGTTTGTAATCTCTTTCTGCTTATGTTACTTATTATTATTAAGAATAAATGGATCCTTATGATCTATCTATTCTCCTGAATAACCAATCCCCTTTTTAAGTTGTTTTCTTTTCCAATTTAATTGGAGGAACTGCAACAACATTTTATGGATAGAATCTAGTTCCAGTTGTTTTTCTTTAATCTAATCTCCGACCAAATCTGGAGAATGAAAATGAAGATGTTTTTGGTCTGTCCTCATCCATTTTTTTAATTAAATTATGTTAATCATTTATAAGGGATAAGAAATAAAAGTTGGCAATATTGATTTCAATAGTTTGATTGAGATTATTGAAACAAGATTTGCATATGAACTTCAATCAATGTATTAAATAATCTATAAGGATGATGATGATGATAGTAATCCTGTCATAATTGTAGATGATGATTCATTATAAGGTGCTGGTATTATATTAATAATTGTTAAGTAAATCTATGTCAAACCAAAAATATTGAACTTGTATTAGAAGTTTAAAATGCAAATATTGATGCTTCCAATTACATTCTTAAAAGATAAATTGTATTTAATATTCATTTAAAATAGAGTACAGAAAAATCAAATATCTATTAAGAAAGTCTTCATTAGATCAATGAAAAATTAAGAGAATATAAAGAATAACACAAATATTAAGAAATTTAGGAATCAATTTATGAAGTAAAGGATGAAGATCTTACTATTTAACATATAATGCAATATTATTAAAAATAATTGACTAAGTTTGTAGCCAATTATCAAAAGTAATCTAATGAACATAAAACAAAACATTATTAATAATATTAAGAATGTTTTGGATCTTTATTAGAAAGAATGAATAAGAAATTATTAAATTAATTTGAACTTATAACATAGAACTAAAAGGATATTCAAAAAAAAGTAGAAAATTTAAATGAATTTTAACAATTCCAATGAATATTTTTATATTATTATTCTAAAATATCTAAAGTTGGCTTCATAAAATATTATAAAATCAATTAAGTTAATGATTCATCTTTTCTTCACTAATAATATATAATTCTCTTTAGCTTTATCCATTTGTAGATTTTTTAATTCTTAAATCATATCAGGAGTCTATTTTATTTAAGGAGCTTTCAATGATGAATCATGATAATAAAACTCTAATTCATCATCATGCTTAATCACTTTTCTTATAGAAACCCAATGTCTAGGATCCCAATTACATAATTTCTCAATAAAAGACATCTCCTTAATGAGGCTAATCAATAATCCATATACTTAAGGATCAGCAATAAGTTCTTCATTAATTTCTTGGTTCTATCTAACCCATACTATTTCATATGATTCTTTTAATAAAATTCTTTCAATAACATTTAAATCATAGTTTCCTAAAAAATAAGTATAGTGAGATAAGCTTGTTTCTTTTTTAATTTCTTCTGCAATATTTTCGAAGTCTTATCTGGTATATTTATTTTATTAAAGTAAATTATTAACTGCATGAAGTCCACATCTTCGATAATTTTGTGTTTGATGTTCATATTCTTTTGATTATTGCATATAAGAAATAAATAAAAATAATTAAATTTATTTAAATAAAATGATATCGTTTGAATTATCAAACATATTAATTCTAGTATCAACAGGTATTGGATTACTTTGGGCATTATATAACGCATACAAACTTAACCAAATAAAGATAGGCACTCCAAATTAATATAATAATTTCCAGGATGATTATTAAGATCATCATTCTTAACTTCTGTTAGAAATAGCTTCTCATATAGAAAGTGGAGCAGCTGCATTTTTGGCTGCAGAATATAGATATATTGGAGTTGTAATTATATTATTAGCATTACTTATCTTCTTTATCGTTGAGCCAGTCTTAGGATAAGCTTGGACTACTGTCGCATTTTTAGTTGGAGCCCTAACATCAATCATATCAGGTTCGGATATAATTATTAAAAATAGGATTTATTGGTATGAGAGTAGCTACATTCTCCAACTATCGTTGTGCCTATTGTGCATAGACAAAAATGACAGATGCATTTGCAGTGGCATATAGAGCTGGATGTGTTATGGGTTTTGCATTGGTTAGTTTTGCGTTACTAAGTCTAACAATTCTTATGGGAATCTATATAAATTGGTTCATAAAAGATTATAGAGACTTTTAATAATTATTTGAAGCAATAGCAGGATATGGATTAGGAGGATCAGTAATAGCATTATTTGGTAGAGTTGGTGGAGGAATTTATACAAAAGCAGCTGATGTTGGAGCAGATCTTGTTGGAAAAGTTGAAAATAATTTTAAAGAAGATAGTCCAAATAATCCAGCAACTATTGCAGATAATGTAGGAGATAATGTTGGAGATATTGCTGGAATGGGTGCAGATTTATTTGGATCATTTGCAGAAGCTACTTGTGCTGCATTAGTAGTATGTAGTGTATCTCCATCATTTTATTATCATCCAACAACATTTTATTATCCATTATTAGTTTCAGCATCAGGAATTCTTGTGTAATTAATTTATCTAAATTTATAGCTGTTTTATTGTCTCTATTTTTGCATTTGTAGGTCAAAAAGAAGATTTTGATTAAGTTTCAAATGCATTGAAAGTTTAGTTGATTCTATCCACTCTTTTAATGTTACCTGCTCTTTATTATGTTGCATATCTAACTTTACCAGAAAGAATATTTGGATTATCACCAGTAGATAGACAACCTATTCATGCATGGCTTTGTACTGTTGTAGGACTCATAAGTGGTTGCATCATAGGATTTGTAACAGAATATTATACCTCACATTCTTATAGACCAGTATAAGAAATTGCTTAAGCATGTGGAACTGGAGCAGCTACTAATATTATTTATGGAATTGCTTTGGGAAATCTTTCAACTATAATTCCAGTATTCTTATTAGCATTTACTGCATTTATTTCATATTCTTTATTATCTATGTTTGGAGTTGCATTAAGTGCTTTAGGAATGTTATCAACTTTAACTATTGGTTTGGCAATTGATGCATATGGTCCTGTTTCTGATAATGCTGGAGGTATTGCAGAAATGGTTGGCTATCCATAAGATGTTAGACATAGAACAGATTAACTTGATGCTGCTGGTAATTGTACTGCAGCTATTGGAAAGGGATTTGCTATTGGATCAGCAGCATTAGTTGCTTTCTCCTTGTATGGTGCATTTATCACTAGAGCTTCCAACTCTCTCAATAAACATCCATTAACAGATTTAGGAGTCAATTCTCCTTTAATATTTTTAGGACTCTTAATTGGAGCTATGATTCCTTATTGGTTTTCTGCTTTCACATTAAAATCTGTTGGAAGAGCAGCATTTGAAATGGTTGAAGAAGTTAGAAAATAGTTAGCTGAAAAACCAGGAATAAGAGATGGAACAGAGAAACCAGATTATGATAGATGCATAGCTATATCAACTAAATCTTCTCTTTAAGAAATGTTTGCTCCAGGATTACTTGTCATTTTAGTACCATTGATTTTGGGATTATTCCTTGGTCCTACTGCTGTCGCTGGATTATTGCCAGGTATATTAGTTTCTGGAGTATGTATGGCTACATCATCAGCCAATTCTGGAGGAGCTTGGGATAATGCAAAAAAGTATATTGAAGCTGATTTATGTGAAATTGGTAATTTTAGTTTATATTTTTAGATGATATTATTAAAGGTAAAGGTACTGATGAACACAAAGCAGCAGTTATAGGTGATACTGTTGGAGATCCTTTAAAAGATACTTCTGGTCCATCCTTAAATATTCTCATTAAATTAAGTGCAATTTTTTCTTTAGTGTTTGCTGGTGTTTATGATAAGTCAGCATGGTTATTATGTGCTATGACAACTAGTAGCAGTGGTTGTCCAGCATGAAATTGAGTATGAGAAATATTAAATAAATCAAATCATTTTATTAATTCAGTCCATTCATATATAATGGATATATCATATATTTAATATATCTCATATAAAATTAGTAATTTATTTAAATAAGTATCTACATACTCTATATATTGGTTTAGGTATTTATTTATTTATCTATTAATTATTTAACAAAAAATCAAATTAATCCAAACTTGGAATAATCTTTTCATAAATTATAGTCTAATAAAGAGATGGCTAAATTTAAATGATAGGAATGATAAAAATAAAATACAATCATTAGTTATGTTATGTTTCAAGTTAAATGTGTTAATGATGATCTTAGTGACCTATTATTGCTAAAGATCTAAGTTTTATTTTTAATAATAAGATGGGGATTTATAGGAAAAGCAGAATTAATTTAAATTGAATTCCATAAATTATAATATTGATTAAGAGTAAAATTAATAAAAAGGCCTTACATCTATTAGTTTAGAAAGTATAATTACATTAATAGGAAATGATGGGAAATAATTTATTTTGAATAGCCTATGATGTGAATTTCGACAATATTTAATATGAGATATATAAAATTCTATGATATTTAATATATTACTATACAATTATAAAGAAGAACCATGAATGCTTCAAATATTCTTAGATAATGAATATTATCCAATTTATTGTAAATTCTAAGATTGTGAAATTTTCAATTCTTTTTAATATAACCTTTTGATTTACATTCTACATTTATCTAGTATTCATTTTTATTGTTATATATAATTAATAATGCTCATTTTAGTTTTATTTTCAAATTAACAATTAATTTATTTTTTTAATATGTTCACTTAACCATCAGGTGCAAAATCTTCTGCATAAAGTACTCCTTACAAAACAAAATATCATCATCCAGAATAAGAGGAAACAATATCTGAAGATGAATCATAAATAAATAATATTCTCAAAGCTTTGAAACAATAGTAAATATTTGAATTTTTAGTTTTCTAGATATTTGATATTGGATAATACACTCAATGAGAAAGAAGAAGAGAAATCTTAGATTTTAGAAGATTTACAAATCTTGAATTAGAGATTACAATAATTAAATAAATCAATTGCAATCAAGAGATAAAAATATGAGAAATGTGATAGAACCTTAAAAGAAGCAGAGTCAGCTTTTGCAACTATCGCTGATTCTACAAAGTCTCTACTTTAAATAGTCAAAAGTAACATTGGAGATATAAGTAAAAAATAAAAAAATTGATTGATTAACTAATTATTTTCTCTAGTAATTGAGAATAAAAATATTCACATTTTTTTTAAAATTTATTAATGGTTCTGAGGAGATTCACACAATAGTATAAAAGTATCTATGCATTTTGCAAAGTTGAATCTTACACAATAAAACCATAGAATACTGTGATAGATTACAAGTTTTTATAAAAGATTATATTTAGTTAGAACATTAACTTATAATCCATAATAGAAAATCAAATTTGATTCATCAAACAAATCATTACTTTACTATTACAAACCTTTGGTATTTATAATTTCAATATATAATTCAGCTATGGACTTATCAGTTATAATATTGGATGTATTTATTTCCAATGGTATTAATTGGAAATGTAATCAAACATAATCCTTGTAAGATTTAATTTATAGATATTAGTTTATTCAACATTTCCTGCAGCATTACCAATGATGTTTACTGTAGAATTTTGGTGTAAGTTGAATTAAATAAACTATAATAGTATTTTTGAGATGGTTTAAGAAATTCAAATATTTGAGATATGTAGTTTCTGAAGTTTATTTACATAAAGATGGTTAAACAGTTGAAGTAGTATATGAAAAGAAATTTTGGGTAATATATAAAAATGTCAATATAAAATAGAGAAAAGTAAAAGAATAAAATGTTACCCAAATATTTTATGTTACAAATTTGAAGACTTTGATTGGAGATGATAAAAGACCTTTGAAAGGAAATCTATTTCCAGAATAATGGCCTATGAAAAAAGAAATGTCAAAAAAATGGAGATGGTCATTTGTTAAATATTATCTTAATCAAAATAATTTCTTAGTTTTTCCTACAAATCCAAATTATATTAATGGTGAAGTAATAATTAAGTAGCTATTATTTAAATAGATTTTAATTGCTGTAATGAGTGGAAAGATTATAAATACTTCAAAATAATATGTAGAAGATATTGAAGGAGATATGTTAGAAATGGTTGAAGAAGGTAAAATTAAATCAGATATATTTATTTGATTAATATTTAGCATAATAAATGCATTTAAAATATTATAAAAAGAAAAAAATGTAATAATCTAGAATTAATATTTATATTATCATTCCTATTAATTTATGCTAAATGCTAATCAAGCACCATCGTTGTAGCTAATTTCATCTTCTTCTTCTGAGTAATAATATTCAATTTAATTGGAATTTTCTATTTAAAAATTATTAAAATACTTTTCAATTTTTTTGATGAATTTTTTGAGAGGCTTGGAGGTAAATCTAGATCTTCAAATTCATCTTCTTGATCCTCAACAATATTTTCCTCTAGTAAAGAATTAGTCAAGAATTTAGAAACATAATAAAAACTTTAAAGATATTCAGGTAAGATCTATAATTAAATTAATAAATTTTACTCTAGGAACTTCTCTGTCATTATTTATTAATTCAACATCTCTATCTCTAGTTACAACTTATATTAGCATTTTATCATAATAATTGGAATATTCAGTGAATACTTGATATAGTTTAGAAAATTAAAGTTCGGATAATAAATATTATTTTGCAGCTTTAATAATTTCTTCTGGAACTTCAGTTTATTCTGCATTCACTTATTTTTTTATATATTAAATTAATTACATTTTGTATTTGAAAATGCTCTATGTATTCTTGGAGGTCTATTAAAATCAAGATATTCTTATGAATTCCCAAATTAGTATGTATCATCAAAGACTGCCAATTATTCAAGATTCATTTGAGAAAGTGCAACTTTGATGATTTCTAATAAAGGATCTTAAGAATGTTTATTTTTCTCTTTGATTAATAGATCCTCCAAATCTAAATTGCTATTTTCTAAACATAAATTAAAGAATTTTTGAGCATCATTTAAATTAGAATCTCCTTATGTTTCAAGATGTTCATTATTTTAAGATGATGTTATTGATATACGCTCTTATTTTGGAGATTTAGGTTTAGAAGTTTTGTAAACTTGAATGATTTGTTCCTTATTGGTTTATACAAATTTCTATAAATAGGAAACTTCTAAAAAATAATATAAAGATGTATAAATGTGTTCTCTCTAAAGATTTTCAATTTTGAACATAAGAGGTTCAGGTACAATTTACTATAAAAATCTAATAAATGGTTTAATTAATTATTAATTTACTCCTTATCAAACTTAATAAACTCGATAAAAGATATAATATTTGATCCAAATACTTATCTGCTCTCATCATAATAAAAACTGGTTTCATATTATATTTTCTCACTCAACTATTCATAAAATTCTTCATAACAACAATCTTTATGACCTACCCAATGAACAGAAACCTAAATTATTAATTAGACTGATTAACCTCACTAATTGATATATCTTAAATGCATCTAATAAAATTTCTTAATAGATCTACTATTTCAGTATAAACTTGATGTGAAGTATCAATTTAATATTAATCTCTACAACTATTTCTTTATTTCAATAAGAAATTATCATAGATTTCATAAGTAATTTAAAATGATTAAGTACTTTCTAGATCATCATTGACTCCTTAATCAAATTCCTTTTTGAACATTTATTGTCTTTGAGCTGAGAGTAAACGTAAAAAACATTGTATTAAAATAGCTTAGAGTTATTCATTTCTAATTATCTTTTGATTAATTTGAAGTTTACATATTTAATCCACATTTTAGTCATCACCCTCCAAATTGAAAACTTTGGATATTAAGGATATTTTGAGAATAGATTTTGATGTAACTCATTTATAATATTCTCAAATGGAAAGATTATTGTTGATAAATCCATAATGGCATTACTATAAGCTTACCAATACATTACATATTCACTAAGCAAATCAATACTGTTTATGGTATTAGCATTTATAAATACACTAAAATACTATTATAATCCTTCCAAATAACATTCCAAAGAAGTATAAAATTCCTCCATTAAATTTAAAATGCAAATTTATTCTTCATTCTATGGTTCCAATTATTATTCAAATTCTTCATTTACTACATCCATTTTTTATACATATAATTGTTGAAATTCATATGATTCCTCTTACAAACACCATCTATACTATAAAAATTATTTTTTAAGTTTTTCATTATGTTGTAACTTATATTAGATTTCAGCCAATATTTACAATTTATTTTATTTTAACTCATTCATCAACTACAGGATTAGATTATATTATATAATTACTTCATTCTAAATAAATTAAAAGTCAAACAACTTATCAAATCCTTTTTGTTCTAGTTCTAAACGTTAAGCTAACATAATTTGAAACTCAGATTCACAATGTATCCCTATAGTTTCTCTCTTTAAGATAGGTTTGGGAAACACAGCATCACAAAGGATAAATGGAAATTTTAAAGTCTATCTATTAATTATTTAAACTCTAATTTACTTAGTTAGTATCATTTTTTTAAGTTAATTCTTCCAATCAAAACAAGAATTGTCAAAATTCTATAATCTAATCTACCTTCTTTTTTGTATGTCTGGGTAGTTTAACTCAAGAGTCATTTCAAGTTATTCATGAAGAAATAATTTATAATAGATCTCTCCAAAGAATTCTTTATGTTTCTATATGTTAATTATTCACATATAACCTCAACGATTTCATTTAAAATACGACAGCTTTATCCAAGAGTTAAAACATCCTTTAAACTTAAAAATCCTGATATTCTCTTAAAAAATTCGTAATTATAAAGAATGTTTGTAATTGTCTCAACAGTCAACTCAATTTAGGTTAATGATTCATTATATTTTTCATTCTTCAGATCCATTTATATTATATATTATTTATATATTAATATTTCTATAGATAATACAATTATACAAATCAACAATCCTTTATATAAATTCTATTGTTTTTAATTATATCTCATATTGGTAATTCTATTCAAAAAAAATCATGAAATCTCTTAGAAAAATCAAGGTATAATTATGAATATTGATTATTAATAAAATTGTATGAAATCTCATTTTTTAAATGCTATTTTTTCTGTTAATTGGGATGTTATTACATGAACAGTATCACAATCAGATATTCCTTTTACACCCAAATAATCTTGATCATCTAATAAAGTTGTTTCGAATCCAATATATAATCTATCTGGAGTAAGATTAATAACTTCAGAAAGTTATTGTTTTAGCAATAATACAGTTTTAGTTTCTGGTCTAATATCTAATTCAACTGTCATTCCAGTCACGAATCTGCAATAGAGTTTTTTGATATCTGTCATTTTTTTTTATTTTTAATAATGTTTTTATATTCAATGACTTATCCTTTAATATCTTCTGTAAGAGCTATTTCTATTTCATCATTATAATCTAAAAGTCGTCTCTTACATAATTATAAACTCTCTTTAATAGATTTAATTTATATCTAAATACTTTGATCATCTTTCTTAATTTCATCTAAATTATCTAAATGTGCCATGGTTACAGTTTTAAAAAAATTGTGAATTTTTCTTTTAGTAATTCTTGTCTAAGGCCTATTTTTAAAGGTTTAAACACTGTATACCAAATTAAGTCTTTCAGTTAGACAATCAACTAAATACTCATCCTATAAATCATAGGCTTTTCTAGATGCACCAGATGCTGAAGTAGTACATCTTTGAGCAGATTAAATTTATTCTTATTTATCATTTTCTTTCAATTAAAGTGTAATTGCTTCTAATTATTTATGATTTAATGAAGATGTCTCTTTATTTCTTGAAACCTTAAGGACTCTGTTGCTTAGTTTTTCAATTTGAAGTTCCCTCTTTGCTTGAACACTCAGCAATCCTAAACGATGAAGAATTTCTTTATTCATCATTTATTATTTAGTGCTTCTTTTTATTGATATAGGTAATTCACAACTTCTTTCAACTGGCTTTATTGTGTTTATTATATTTTCTGTTAAGAATACTGGATGTTTTAGAACTTTGAATTTCTTAATTATAGGTTTGTTAGAAACTTCTAATATTGGAATCATGGGTTCCACTAGAGTTCCCACTTTACTTACTTTCAAATTTTGATTGTCAAGTTAAAAATCAATTAGACTAGGTTCTGCAACACTTTAGTTAAATTTCTATTAAGGAAATTATGAATGAGCATATCTAGGTTTAGCTAGTTCACCTTCTTCCTTAAGATGACTAAAATATTTTACTACTTATTAAAATTAAAAATATTAGGATACCTTTTTATTTTTGTTCCTCCTTAATATTCGACATTACTATACGAATGTTGCGTTGAACTCTTGATTCAGGTTTAATAAGCTTATTCATAAATGTGAATCCTTTTTTATCAAAATTGTACTTATGATTAATATTTAAATTATTATTATCAAATTTAAAGTTTATAATTTTATGATCATATTTCTGATAAGGCTGTCCAAAAGTTCTACTTTAATTATAGAAATTAAAATTAAGATGAGAATTAATTAGTTCTTAATTAGTTTCTTCAAGGTTTTTAATCCTTTTGAGAAAGATATATTAAAATTTTATATATTCTATTGAATTTATGAAATCTACTTTAAGTAACTTTAATGAAACTAAAAATAAAAAAGCTTTTATTAGATTTATAGATTTACTATACTTTTCAAATGATAGTAAAAATTATATTTTTTAATTTTCTAATAGTTTTTGTTTTGTTTTGTTGATTAAATTTAATTTTTTATGGGGGCACAATATTGCAAAAATTAATAATATTAAGAGGATGTAGAACCTTGTGATGATACAGAATTGAATCGTTTGGATGCTCGCTAAATCAATATTAAATATAACTATAAAAAAGATTGAAAGAGATCCTATGAAAGGACCAAACAATTAACAGTAACTTTAAAAAGTGGAGCAGAACATTTAGGAGATTGGGGTGGAAATAAAAGAGAAGGATATGGGATCTTAAAATGGCCAGATGGTTCAGAATATGAAGGAAAATGGAAGAATAATCGAGCTCATGGGTAATGTAAGTTTATTTATCCTGATAGAGACTATTATGAAGGATAGTGGGAAAATTATAAATAAAATGGTAGAGGGACATTCTAATCAATAAGTGGATGTAAATATGAAAGACAGTGGGATTATTTAATAAGGATATGGGACAGAAGTTTGGGGAGATGGGAATAAATATGAGGGATACTTTTATGAAGGAATAAAATAAGGTTAGGGAACTTACATTTGGAATGATGGTTCAAAATAAACAGGATTTTGGATTAATAATAAGAGACATGGATAAGGATCTTAAGTATGGAAGAATGGTAAAAAATATAATGGAGAGTGTTTTGAAGATTTTATGAGTGGTTAAGGTTAAATTAAATGGCCTAACGGTTATTGTTATGTTGGATTATTTAATAAAGATGTTCCTAATGGTTATGGTATTTTAAAACGGTCAAATATTATATAATAATTATTGTTAGATGGTAAGACTTATGAAGGTGGTTTTAAATAGTCAAAGGCAAATCGGAAGGGTAAGGTAATCTTGAATAATGGTTAGAGTAGGTTTGGAGAATGGCATGAAGGATAATTGATAAAATGGTTTGATAGCAGTTTAGATAAATAAAAAGAAAACTTTGATATACTAAATTTAGAAGATTTATGAAAAATCATATATATATACTAATAATCAGACTCAACATAGGGAATAAGATTTGAACTTAGTTGTCAGTATCTGTATCATTTGTATTTGAATTGTTGGAATTGTTTGTCTGATTGTTTGTATTTGTATATATTGTTCCACATTACAAACAGAAAGAATTGGCAGAATCCCATGTGTATGTATAAGCAGTAGATTAAAAGCAAGTTTATGCCCCTAAAGAAGATTTCTATGCTGAAATACACTATTCACTAGATAATGCACACAATTCATAATTCTTTTAAAAGAAATCTAAGATAGGTAAACATAATCCAGTTTCTTTTGATTTTGATGAACATGTATGTTAGGCACATGTGGTTTTGGTAGCAGTTTCAGTCCATTAACAAGTCCATGATTTTGATTAACATGCCTCTTTATTTGTTGAAGCATCTGAACAAGCACTCATGATTTTACATTTTCCTTCTCCATTATCTAAATACCATACACAATATCCATCACTACCACCTTATTTACATCCTTTTTCGGTTTCATATTTATCACATGTTAATTATTCAACACATCCAATTCCACTATCTACACATTTACTAATCTAAGTACAATTATCTACTAATTCAGTACATTTAATTAAACGACATTTATTATCTGTTGGATCATATTTGCATTTACCATCAGAACCAAGAGCAATATTACAATATTCTTTACTATAATTTTCACATTTATCTATTGAAATGCATTTTGTGGTATTTGTAGTACAAGTTTTTAAAGCAGTATTACATTCTTCATGAGTTGTAAATTATATATGGGAACATTATAAATCTAAGCATTTCTTTTCTTTTTCATCATAATAACATTTTTATTAATCACTATTTAATTAACAACTAGACTATTTAGTATATGATGAACAATCTTATAATTCAATACATTTAGTTTCATCTGTTGTGCATGTCTTATTTACATTTTAACAATCTTAATGAGTAGTATATTCTATTGAATTACAAGTTTTAAATAATACACATTTATTCTTATCAGATAAATAGACACATTTACCATCTGTTCCTTAAATACACCCTTATGGAGGTAATTTTTCACATTTATCAATTGGTATACAAGTGAATCCATCAGTTGTGCATTCATTACTGAATTCATAACATTATTCATGAGTCTAGAATTAAAGTGATGTACAGGATGAATATTGATAACATCCATTTTTCACCCATAAACATGGTCCATCTGAACCTAAAAAGCATCCGCTTTATATTTTGGTATCACACTTTGCTTGAGTAATGCAAGTTAATCCATTAGATGTACATTAAGAATTGAAGTTAGCACAATCATAATGATTTGTATATGCAACATCTGAACAAATAATATCTCTACATCCATCCTTTGAGAATCTACATTAATTACCATATTTATCTGTTGTACAAGCTTATTAAATTTTAGCATCTTTGCATAGACCTTTATTTGTACAACCTCCAGATTAATTTACTGTACATCCTAGTTTATGTAATTAACACTCTATTTCAGTAACATACTTACTGGGAGCACTTGAACAACTATAAGCAACACATTTATTATTAATCCATGTACATTTATTACCATTAGAATCAGTAACACATGCCTATTCAATATAGGTATCTGAACATTCAGTTCTCAAAACACAACCATTTCCATTAGTTGTACATTCTTTTTTATAGTTTTTACATTATTCATCTGTTGAATAGGATTAGGGAGCATCACTACATTATTGTAGATTGCAACTAGGTTGGAATGTACATAATTAATTATTCTTATCAATAATACATCCTGATTTAGTAGTATATGAAGAACATTAATCAATTTTAATGCATCCCTTTCCATTAGTAGTACAATTCTTACTATAAGATTAACATTCATTATGAGAAGTATAAGTTTTATCAGCTTTATCACAAGTTCTATCTGTACAGAGATTATTATACCAGATGCATTCATCACCTGATTTAGTATATTTACAATTAATTTCATTTGCATATTCACTACATTTTAAATATCGTTCAATACATCCAGTTCTTGCAGAATTAACAGTACAAGTGTTCAAAAAGTTATTGCATGCTTCATCACTTGTAGTTTGATCAGAATTTTAACAGGATCTAACTTCACAAGCATTAGGTGTAGCTTTTTTATTCCATATACATTTGCCTTCAGATAAACTTTCAATACACATGAATTCATTATTATATTAATTACATTTATTTTATTTGTTTACACATCCATTATATTGAGTTCCATCATAATTAGCAGTACAAGTTGATAAAAATGTATTACATGCTTTAAATGTATTATAAACAACTTATGTACATTATCTTGCTACACATTATAATCCATTCCAAAAACAATATGAACCTGAATTAGTTATTGAACATTAATGTTCTTATAATTCTATACAAGTAGCTTTACGAGATACACAACCACTTTTTTAATCACTTATCATACATCCACTTAAATAACTATTACATTCTTCATCTGTATAAATATAAAGACTAGCAGTAGAACAACTTTTTTAAACACATTGTCCATTGATCCATAAACATGTATATTTAGTATTACCTGCTAAATAACATTAATCTTAGATTTTGTAAGCACTACAAATTTATTCTAAATTTTAACATCCTTTAAGATCAGATTAAACTGTACAACTATTTAACCATTATTAACAATCTTTATGTGATGTTAATTCATCACTTGCATTTTCACATGTTTTTAATGTACAAGTTCCACTCCAAGCACATTTATTATTTTAATAATCATTACTACATTATTTTTCACTTAAATATGTATTACAAGTTTTTTAAGTACATTTATTATTATATATTGTACATTATGACATATATCTACTACATGATACTTAATCATATTTATTTAATACAGCATTAATACAAGTTTTATCAACACATTTACTACCATTCCAATAACAATTTTATTAATCATTTAATACACTAACACATTAATTTTGAGTTGTATATTCATAACATGATTCCAATCTCTTAATACATCCATTATTTGTATTATTAACTGTACATTCACTTTTAAATTATCTACATTAAATATCACTATTATAAGTAGAATAAGCATTTTCACAAGTCCAAGATTTGCATTCAGCTTTAGGTTAACAATTAGTATCACTATCCTTACAAGTAATTGAGAACCAAAAACATTAAGTTCCTTAAACTTAAATACATTATGATTCATTTATATAACTATCACATGAACTTGGCATATCCATACATCCTTTTTGATCATTATTAAGAGAACAAGTATTTAAATACTTTTAACATTATTCATGTGTTGTATACGTATTAGGAGCATTTGTACAAGTTTTATCTTTACATGAAGATCCATCCCAAAAACAATCATTACCTAATTAATTTTATACACATCCTAATTTTTATAAACTAGCACAATCACTTGTTATATCCATACAACCTCCTCCTTCTTTAGCTGTACATTTTAACATCTTAATCTACCCAGCTTCATAACAAGTTTAATGAGTTGTATAAGATGATGGTAATTCATTACAATTTTAAATTTAATAACATTTCTTGTTATCATTATTCCAATAACATGGATATCCATCCAAATCTACTACACAACCCAATTAATTATCATTAAAATTATCACACAACAAATCAACCATAATACAATGTTCTCCATTCGTTGTACATAAACGAGAAATCTTTTAACATTCTTCATGCGTTTTTGCTTAATATACAGAACATCCACTAAATGGTTTACAAATTCCTTATTATAAAGCACAACCATTTATTGGACAATTAGAACTATTTATTGAACAATATGATTCTAAATCTGTAGATTTACGATCTTCACAAGAACCTGATGCTGTGTTCCATTAACACTTAGTTAATTAGGTACAATCTTTAGAACTAAGAATTTGCTTGCATGTGCATTAATCTACTTTTGGTAGGAGCTCTGAATGACTTACTAAAAGTAAATTCAAGAGAAGTAACATCATATTTTTCATTAATAAATTAATATAAATAAATTTCAAATTTCACTGTGACACCTTTATATATGCTTATTTAATGTTTATTTATGAGCAAAATGTTTATTACACTTTTCACAACCAAATGCTCTAATATTTTTATGTCTAACCAAATTATGTTTCTTCAAAGATCTCAATCTCTAAAATACTCTATCACATTTTAAACATTAAAATAATTCATTTTATTATTTCTTATGATGGTCTTACTAATGTTTCTTTAATTATCTCTTCTTTGTAAACTTTTAATCACATTCATTGCATTCATATGATTTCATTTCGTGAATTAATTACATATGTCTTTTCAAATGATGTTTACATGTAAATTTCTATGGACAACCTCAATCTCAAATCTATTATATACTTTCACATTTAAATGGTCGACTTCCACTATGAGTTAATTAATGTCTTTTAAGATGCTAAGAACGCTTAAACTCCTTCCCACACTACTCACATCGAAATTACTTCAAGTTTTAATGTGTCTCTCGTATATGTCTTTATAGTTTAGAATTGTTGGTAAAAACCTTTTTGCATTCTTCACAACTAGGCTATTATTATGGTTCATCCAATGGCTCATAGATATCCTCTTCTTAACAAGATTATATTTTGTTTAATTTCTAAAAAATTGGTAAAGTGAACACTTCCATTAATTATTATTTATTTATAAATTATCAATTCTTATTTTTATTAAGAAATAACCCTGTTATTATTTATATACATACAATTAATTATTAAGACATAGTTACATGATTATTATTGATATAATTATATAATTAATTCAGAATAGAAGAATGCAACCATAGGCTCAATTAAAATATATATTTTTGTATTTCAATCCCTATTCTTTATCATTTTTTAACGAATAATTATAGAAATAAATAACAATCCACTATTTTAATTTTAACTAATCTTTTCAAATATTATTCCAGTTTTAATTTTGAGAAATTTATTATGATATGGTCTATATACATATCTTTTAGAAAATTCCTCTCAATAGATTGAAATTAGAAAGTTCTAAAAACTCTTGAGTATATTAGTTCTATATTAAAATTAACAAAAATATCCTATTTATACTTATATTTTACTTCTAAAAGTTAAAATTTCAACTTTAATGTAGTATTTTTATTGTCTCTATATTTGAAAATAATGATTGATTATAAGTTTTAATATTCTTTTATTTAATATCTTTGCTTTATCTAAATTAATAGGTTCTTAATTATTCATTTTGATCCAATTACAATATTAAAAGAATAAACACATAACTGTTCTACTATAAGATTAGCAATTTTCTTTTAAAATAGTATTAATATCAATAGAGAGTTTAAACTTTTTGTTTTTTGCATCAAGATTTAGAATCAAGACAATCTACTCATAAAAAACATTATTTAAATTAAAATGGATAGTATTTACAAAACTGCTAATATTAAAGATTTCTATAAATTAGATAAAATATTAGGAGAAGGTAGTTATGCAATAGTGAGAAAGGCTATTAGAAAAAGTGACAATATTGAAGTTGCAGTAAAAATAATTGACAAGTATATCAATATGAGATTATTTTTATTAGAGTATCATTAGAAAGTGATGATCATTTGGCTATTTAGAGTGAAGTGGAAATAATGAGTTAGATTGATCATCCAAATATTGTTAAAGTATTGGAAGTCTTTGATGATAAATAAAAACTTTATATAGTGCTTGAATTAATGACAGGTGGTGAACTTTTTGATCGTATAGTTGAGAAAGAATTATATAATGAAAAAGAAGCAGCTGATGTTATTAGACCAGTAGTTGATGCTATCAGATGTAATTTATATCTAAATTATTTATTTAGATTGTCACTCTATGGGTGTTGTACATAGGGATCTTAAACCAGAGAATATTCTTTATACAACTCCAGATCCAGATGCTACTGTTAAGATATCAGATTTTGGAGTGGCAAAAGTTATATCTGATGAATTGATGCTCACTGCTTGTGGAACCCCTGGTTATGTTGCTCCAGAAATCCTTACAGGAGTTGGATATGATATGGCAGTTGACTATTGGAGTATTGGAGTAATACTTTATGTGCTGTATAAATCTGAATTTATTGGATCTAACCTAGATTATGTGGTTATCCTCCATTTTATGAAGAGTCTAATGAAAAGTTATTTGAGTAGATCAAATCAGGTAAGATAGACTTCTCAGGGGAATAATGGGAGAAAATATCTAAGGAGGCTAAAGATCTAATTGAGAAACTTCTAAAGGTTGATCCAAAATAGAGATATAAAGCAGATTAGATTTGCAAACATCCATGGATTACTGGAGAGAAAGCCTTGACTAAAGATTTGTCTGATGTCACTGAAAAACTAAGAGAATTGAATGCTCGTAGAAAATTAAGAGTAATTAATACTATTTATAATTATTAGCGTGCATAATTGATGGTGTTAGCTACAACCAAACTTTAAAGACGTATTCAATAACATTAACAAAAAAATTGATTTGTTAATTCATTAATGAACATATATATTGATGTATTTCATCTATTTTATACCATCCAATGAACTTAAATCATAATCAAGTATAGATAACAGATAATACTAATCTAAATGTGTGATTTCTTATTAAATATTTAAAGAATATGAACCATTTTCATTTATTATTAAAACATACTCTTTATAATTATATCATAAGTGCCTATTTAATGTTAGATGGATTGAAATTAAGTAATAGACCAATTGACATAGTATTCATCAACCAATTTAATAGTAGTGATACTCAAAATACTTATTATTTTACACTCATATAAAATGAGATTTATTTACTTTTCAAATTACGTCATCCAAATATAGTCTAAATATTTGAGATAATGTTATAAGAATCCAAAATGTATCAGATTATGACTATATAGGCGAGGAAGAACTCAAAATTCTCTTAAAAATAATTAGCTGGCATAATAAGATGCACAAATATTATTATTTTAAAATATTGAAGCCATCGAATATATATATTATATAAATATACTCAATTGTTATTTATATAGAATTTCAAACTACTTAAACTTTTTGCAATTATTGATGGATTTGTACCTTTTAAAAATACAGAATACAAGAAATTTAAGAGATAAAGTTAATATTCTAATTTTGAATTTCTTTTCCATTTAGAAGAGATATTTACTATAATTACATAATCATGTATTGAGAGAAGATTATTTATCTTAAAGAAAACAGATACATCCTTTGGATAAATCGATTATTTGAAATCATTTTAATATCATACTCTATTCCTTGGATATCTATAAGGAGATATTTATTTTTTTTAAGTAAAATGTAATTGGATGAAAATAATAATTTTTATATAGTATATAAACACAATCTTAAGTAAACTTGTATTCAAATAAAAGATTTGGAATTATAATATCAGTATTTTCAAAATCTAGTGAGATAATTATGATAATTAAGAGTAAATTCATCTAAAAAAGATTAATGTTATACATTATTTAGATGTTTCAAAATGTACCAAATCTCCTTGAATATTTTTATTATTATTCAATTAAATACTATATAAAATAAACTGCATTATGCTTTAAGAATCAACAAATTCATTAAGTTCTTTTCCTAATCTTTCAGCACTATGTAAAAAGGATGAAAAGCAGAAATAATCTTTAGAAAAATTATTAAAACATAAACCAAATGTAGTAAAGAGTTTAGACATCTATGCCTAAAATATTGAAGAATATTTGAAAGATCAAAGAAAAAGGATAGCATACTTAAAAAAAAGGGAAGAATCATACTATGATTCTAGACCTATCTAAGCTTATGATGAGGCACTTATAATGTAATACAATAGAGTTAAAGCTAAATAATTTTATTTGCAACAATCGCAAAAAAAATTATCATAACAACCATCACCTGAGTAATAACTCAATAGAACACCTTCTAAATATTTTGATAAGAATTACACACCTTTGAAAAGAAATGAAAAATTTGAAATTCCTTCTCTTTAACCTATTAATGTTTCACCTCAAAAAGAACTCAAACCTATTTAATTTAGAGTAAATTATACTCATATTAAGATAGTATAATTATACAATGCAAGTTAACGATCCACTCCTTAGATAAGTTCTTAGTATTCGTTAATAATGGTTTGAAGTACCTAATAATTCATTTAGCCATTTATAATGGCTTACTTAACTCTTAGATTTTAGTAATCTAATAAAATAGGATGCTGTTTCCAAAAGATAAATGGTTAATTTAATGGAATTTCAGCATGAATGGTCAACTAAATCTTAATTATACAATAATCTTTGCTCTATCTCACCAGAATTAGCATTAAAAGTATTACCACCAGGATTTGTGTTAAATTTTAAAATATCTTAATGGGTTGAAGATCTAGATTTTATATAAGAATATTTAATTGTCAATCATCCATAAAAAGATAAATAATAAAAATTTCCATTTTCTGTTTATGTTCCTAATAAAGGAGGTTAAACATATAATAAACAAATATCTAGATTAATTTAAGATATTCCTAAATTATGGATATGCAAATCAGCTACAGGTTCTGGTGCTATGCTAATTAATAACAATGATTAATTATAAACATTTCTGATTCAATAATACAAAGATTAAAAAGAATTTGTGATTTAAAAATATATTGCAAATCCATTATTATATAATGGTAAGAAATTTGATATTTAAATTAATGTATTGGTTAATTAAGATAATTAAATGTATATTTCAACAGAACCAACAGGAAGATGTTGTTAATTGAATTATGATCTTAATTCGGTATTATAATTAATTAAAAATTTTAGTTAGATCCTTTTATTCATACAAAACCTAAATAAGCTATATCTCATTAAAATTTGGTTGATTTTTTGAGTTCTTAAGGAATATCCTTAAAAGATCTTTTGAATTAAATTAAGACTTCAATATCTTTGATTCCTTGTAAATTAAATAGAAGATAAAGAAAATATTGTATGTAAATCTTTGGTTTTGATTATTTACTTGATGAATCTAAAAAAATTCATTTAATAGGAATAAATGCAAATCCAATTTATACCTTTGTTGAATTAGATGGAGCTTTTAAATTAACTATAGATAAAATTTTTCCAATCAATAATAAAAGTGATGAAAAATCAATTTGGATCTGCTTAAATTGATATTAATTATAGAACAAATTGATAATATTATATTTTAATATTCATTAATAATAAATTATATTGAAATTTCATTAAAAACATTAAAATTTATTCCTTTCTAGCTTGAAGATGTCAATTATTTTTTGCATTAATAATTAATGGTATATAGCAATAAAAATAACTAATATTATAATTAATATAAGTATTTAGTCAAAAAAGTAAAGGATTCAAATAAGGATGGCTCAAAAATTGAGTATATGGAAATGAAAAAGTTACGATAACCAATTCATTTAGGAATAATAATTAATGCTCATTTAATTGAATATATTAAGATATGACTATTGATTGATATTATATCATTATTTATTAAACCTTGTTTTTAAATTCTCCCATATACCTCCAGCTTTTTCTTTAACATTTCCAAATGTCTCCATAGTTTTTTCAGTTGCAAAATTAAACATATTCTTCAATTAATCCATTTCTAAAATATAATTTAAATCTACTTTATGATGAATCTTCAGAATCCTCTTCTTTATCTCCAAAAAATTACTTACTTGAAATTGCAGTTTATCCATTAAATTTATAAATATTCTGTTTATTTTATTCACTAATGATAATATATATTATTAAATACTTATCTTATTATTAGAATAATGTGTCAGATGAAATTGATTTTACATTCTTATCTTTCAATTTTTCCAAAGTTTCATTTGTTTATGGTATAGTTTAAGTTGGTTATTGAGTTTGTTTAATAATTACTTTTGGCTCTTCTGATTAAACCAATTCTGATTTATTTAAGTCAGATTTGAATGGATCATTATTGAATGGATTTGAAAATGGATCATCAAATTATAATGAATCAAAGTCGACATCTGCTAATTTCTTACCTTAAACTGCTTTTCCAGATGCAGCTTATGGTTTAGCATTATCAGCAAATACAATTTTATTGCTTTTCTTAGTCACAGTTGCTTCTTCTTATAACAAATTGTTTTAAAACACTTATTTAGGTTATTCTTTGACTTGCGATTCTTCTTCTTTGTTAGAAGTTTACTTTTCTTAAGTTTGAGCAATTTTTACAGGACTTGGAATAAGTGATGGACGAATTATGTTCAATTTTTCTTCACACAAGGCTAATACACTTAATGAGAGTACTTATTTAAGAAGTTCTTATTTGTATTTTTCAACTAAAGGACTCTTATAATCAATTTGACTGCATCCAGGACCAATTAAACCAACACTTTAAAAATATTCCAAGGCTTTTTCATTACCACCTACTTAAAGGAATGTAATTTATTTTCTAGACCAAGAATCTAATGTAAGAGATCTAAACTTAAATGTATTTTTAACCTTGCAAATGTATATCGAACTCCATACTCTCTATGTTTACCAGAACAATCAATACACAAAAATAAACCTAAAGTAACAGATGCCCATTTGGTATTTTTTTTTCCACAATCAATGCATTTCTAAAAATTGTTGAAAATGAAATATTTACATCGTTCCCTTAAACAAGTTTCAATTATTTAATAATTTAATCTCTCTCTGCATCATCAATCTATTTAATTACTTATACAAATTTACTATCTAATTCTCCATATTAATTAGGTTTCTAAACTATTTTATAACAATATTTATATAAAAACAGCTCTTTCTTTTTTAAGAACTTCAAAACTAAAAAAAAACAGAAATATCAATTTATTTTTTTTAATTTAATGCTTGATTTTTGTCTTATGTTTAGATTTTAGAATTCTCTAAAAAAATCAATCATAAAAATTTAAATCAACAATAGCTATGTAAATAAGTACAAATTAAAATATTTATGTTAAAATTATTCAAATGTAATCTTTTATTTAAAAAAAATCTATATATATATGCATCTTAAATTTACATAATACTATTATTTTCTATCATTTATAATGTAGGATAACTTATTAAACGAATTATTATTAAATAATTCCTGAAAATGATAAAAATGGATATAAAGTAATTCTCTATGCTTCGATTAATTGGTAAAGGAGCATATGGACAAGTGTTTTTGGCTAAAAAGAAGGATACTAATAAAGTGTATGCTATAAAAACATTGAAAAAAAAAGAAATTGATAAAAAGAAATAAGCTGTATTTAATCATTTTTTAGAATTAGTAACATGTAATGATGGAAAAAACCATTTTAAATTAAGCCAAACATTAGTTTATTGTTTCCCTCTCATATACGTTTTAATCGGACAAGCATTTCTATTTTGTTTTAGAATATTGTGCTGGTGGAGATTTATTCAGTTTATTGAGAGTAAAAAGAAAGTTAAAAGAAGAATAAATATAATTCTATGCAATTTTAATTATTCATGCCTTGTAATTTCTACATACTTAAAAAATTATTTATAGAGAGTAAATATGGAATTTTATGTATAGTTTAAAACCTGAAAATGTACTCATAGACGAGAAAGGTTATATAAAATTAACTGATTTTGGACTTTCTAAAATATTACTTTAAGAAAAGGCAGACTCAATAGTTGGAACTCCTGAATATTTAGCTCCTGAAATTCTAAATAAAAATGGAGATGGATATGATTATAAAGTAGATTGTTGGTCCTTAGGGTGTTTATTATATGAAATGATAGCTGAATAACCTCCTTTCATATCAGAATAGAGAGATCAATTGATAAAGTTGATTAAAATTAAACAACCTGAATTTAATTTCCCCATATCTAATGAACTAAAAGATCTGATTATATGTTTATTGCAAAAAGACCCAAAATAAAGACCATCCTTAATAGAAGTTAAAGAATTTCCATTCTTTAAAAATGTTGAAGATTGGCAGTCATATTTATCATATAAAATAATACCTCCATTTTTACCTGTAATTCATGGACCTGAAGATGTAAGCAATTTTGATCCTGTAAATGATTTTATCATAAAGTTTAGGAATTTACTTAATAAGAATAATTTGGCTCTCCAAGTGATGGATCTAACTCAGACAACAAATTTCCTGGCTTTTCCGGTAACAATTCTTAATAATGAATTAAATACATATATATAATTTATTAAAATAATATTTAACTAATGATGAAATTAATTGTGAATCTTAATAAAATTAAGTATTTTGTGATTCAAATTTGGTTATTTAGATTATTATATTAATTCATAGAATTCTTATATTGAAGATAAATATATATCAATTATGATATCTAATTTCTTTTATCCTATAGATTTTGGTTTCTTATTCTAAACCTATAGAATAAAAAATAATTTTGATGAAAATAATATTATTACTTTTTAAGTTAAATTATAATACACGGACCTATTAATATAAATATATAACATGCAGAAATTATTAAATCTGGTTTAAATGCATTTATAAAAGTAACGAAATAGAATGATCGTGATTTTTAAGCAATGATTTTTGATAATAGAATTATGATTAATAAGAAACCTATAATCTTTGCACCAAAAAAGTAACAGGGAAAATATTATAATCTAACTATATTTATTTAAATTTCTAACAAATCATCAAATTGATTTCCATTTATTTTCAATCAAACCTAAGTGTCTTACAATGTTAAGATAAATCATTTATATATAAAATAAGGAATAAATATATCAAATATTCGATAAATGACTTATTTTGAATACTTTTCTAGGTAGATGATTATTATTTATTATAGTTTTTTAATTTGGATTAAAGTTCTAAGAGCATTGATTTTGAATACATAATTATTCATTTTTGATATAAAATTTTATAAAATGGAAAATGATCTGCAAAAAGAAAATCAACTACTCGTAGAATAGATTAAGGTGTTATAGGCTTAATTGCATAACAGAGAAACTTTAAAAAATGAATGTTCTAGAATAAATGATTAAAGCAGCTTTTTCAGCACATTCAAATAATCAACACCAAGAGGTAATATTAGTAGAGACCAAAGCAAAAGAGATCTATAGGATTTGACTGCTTAAGTGAAAAGACTTAATGAGTACAATTTCATTTTATTTGCAAAGAGAGAAAGAACAATTAAGGAAAACCTTGAAACATCAAACTGATGCTTATGATTAAAAAATTCAATAAAAAGAAATGGAATTGAGCTAAAAAGAAAAAATGTATAGACAATTATAGAATGACTACAAAGAATTGCAATAGACACTTTTATAAGAATAAAATAAACCAGCTCCTTAGCCAGCAGCGCCAACACCTGTTCAAACAAAACCAATTGGTGATTAAATATAATAATATCGAGTTTAAAAGGTTGGTCTTATGAATCTTCCTTGTTTAGTATTGAATTATATGCTTATATATAGATTATTATTCGAAAAAACATATTCGAATAATTCGTGATTGAAATAGAAAATACAAAAGATAGAGTTTGCATTAATGTTTAAGACATCACAGATTTAGTACCTGATAGAACTAAGGAGGATCATTTTTAGTTAACATACAAATAATAAAATTAAAAGATAACAGAAGTTTATTAATCTTCAGAATATAGATAAATATTAAGAGCAATTAAGTAATATGATTATGGATAATTATCATAGATATCTTCATTCTTAATAATAATAAACTAAGAAATAAGAAACCTTACCAGTATCATAAGAATAATAAAGTGGTTTAATCAAAAGTTTGAGTTCATTTTTTATGAAAAAATGACATTTTAATAATAATATTAAATTAGATATAATAGATTCAAAATACATTATTCTCACAATTTATAATTTCCTCCAATAAATTCACTAAAACTTTATTATATTCTTTATTTTCAACTCCTGAAACATTCAATCCTGCTTTTAATAATTAAATCAACCATTTACTTACTATTTTAGATCTCAAATTTTATTTTAATTAAGGGAATACAGTTTCCATAAATAATAATTGTAATCTACTAATTACAATTTAAGATTCAAGATGTCTTAATTATTCTAGATTACCATTTAAACTATCTTATTTATGTAATGGTTAAGAAAACCCATAATATGCATCTAGAAATCTTTATATTAATTATTCAATAAAATTTAAAGAGTCATTACTAAGTTA